GGGTTTTTTTTCCAAAAGGAAAAATACCCTGATGGTGCACTGATTAAGCACTCTGCTGTTGATTGAAGGGCTAGGAGTGATATAAACCCCCTCAGTAGCTCAGTGGGGAGAAAGACTTGCAGCTCTGCACCCGTAGAGATGTAAATCTAGAAACTCCTATGGGGCAGATCTGCTCTGTCACATGGGGTCTCTATGAGTCAAAAATCAACTCCCAGCAACATCAAAGAAAAGCAGTACCATAAAAGCTCCTTTCTGCCCAAGGTACTAGACCCCAGATTTCTAGTTACAGCGTTCTCCCTATTTAAAACATCCCTTTTCCCCTTTTATAGTCGCTCCTATTCCTCTCTTGCAATAATCCATTTGAAATGAAGTCTCCTTACTTATGTCTGCATTTTATTTTTGCTTTTTTTTTTTTAATTTGGCAGAAGGTATACAGGACTTGCATGTTTAAATGGGAGAGCAGTTCTAAAGTCAGTGATTGTGTGTGTGTTTATATAAAACAATTCTGCTGGGCACTGGAAAGGTGCCTTGTCCTTAAGGAAGCCGGCTAAGGAGCGGTTTTGCAGAATCCAAGCCAACCACCTCCCAAGTAACCCCATCACCCACCCTCCCTCACGGCCCACTGTGTATGTCTGTGCCTGGGATCCAGGGCAATGTGAATTTTGTTTTTATCTGGGAGATTATACACGGAAAACAAGTTTTCTCTCTTGTCCACCTATTAATTGTTTACAATGGTATTTGTACATCTATGCAAAATACTTGAATGGGCCATTGTGCCTTCCCCATCCCCCCAGTTTGTATTTAATTAAAATAAATTGTTTGTCATTTAAAATGTTATCTGGTTTAGCAACATTTTTTATTTTTATTAATATCCTACTACTGAAACTGTGGAGTCCTGGTGTGGCGCTGTGGGCTAATGCATCGGACTGCAAAGTCATTTGAACTGCAAAGTTGGCAGTTCAAGCTCACCAGCTGCTCCTTGGAAACCCTATGCAGGGTCGCTATGGGTGGGAATTGACTCGAGGGCACTTAACAACAACACAACTGAAACTGTGTAAGAATTCTTGATGGCGTGTAGTAGGTTACTACCTTTTAGGCTACTAGTCGCTAGGTCAAGAAAACAAAAATACTCACCACTGGACCAATAAACAACATTCTTA